ATACGCAATAATTTACTAAAAGTAGATACTAGATAAGGTTTGTAAAATTATATAAAAAACAGTATACACTGTACACCTATTGCCTTGTAAACTGCAACGTTTCTTTCACAAGAAAGTTTTCTCCGAAAATCCGCGTAAATGGACAATTTGGCGCGGAAAGTTAGCGGAAAGTGTACGGTGTACACTACACGCTTTTTACGATTTTAGTTATGCTTTGAGTTATTACTCGGTACATGGAGATTTAACCCCCATTAAACACAAGTTTTGAGGATAAAACTTTATGCACAGCCAGAACTAAGCATTATGCACTTTAATCATGTCAAACTTATCTTATGGCATATATTTAAGGACGTTTTATACCATCTTTACCATTCTTAAATAACAGGAGATCCGAATAAATCATATATTTAACATTTTAGAACTCACGATAGTTCTGAATGATATAGCAATATCAAATTATATCGCATTAAGTATTGTCTTCCATATTTCTTGCGTTATAAGCCAATTGATTATGTCAGGTCCCACACAAAACTTGTGACCAATCAGTGAAGCTTTTTTGGTAACTCCTCAGGTTTTCATTTTGCATCAAAGAGTGACAAAAGAAATTTCCCTGATTACATAAAAAGATTTCAAAACTATTTTTTCAATCAAATTAAAAAGTTTTAATTTAATTAATACCTAGATTGAAACTTTACGAAACCTATTCTAAATTATAAAGTTTTTCTTCAGTAGGTACATATACTAATAGTTAAAACGTTTATTACAAATCAATTGTTTTATGTTAGGTGAACCGTGAAACTTACATATTTTTATAGTAAACTCGACATCAATATTTACATTACGTGAATGGAGAAAAACTAAAGGAATTGAGTTTTTGCAACAAAATCTGATTTTTTAATCCCTATATCGGAGCAAAACCAACATTGCAGACCTTTAATATTTCAAACTTAGTTTATTTGATCCAAAATAAGTCACGGTTTGAAATATCTAAGGTGAACTGCGAACTAATAAAATTTGCTAAATGAATCGCAAACTAGTTTTTTGCACATGAGGAAACACGAACTTGGCAAGTATACAAAAATACCGATTATGCAGGTTAACCTGATTTCAAAGTTTTTCTGATTCGCACTTTTTTCTAAATAAAAATAAAATACTGAAATATATTTCCCTCGTCTTGCTGATTAAGTTTAATTTCTAAAAATTAAATTCTGGAAATATTTGATTTATAAATATTTCCGCGGCCTGTCAATACGAAATGTTTGAACTTTTTACCATTTTCTGTAAATGTCAAAAAGTAATAATTCATCATACTTTCCAAAGTTCGCGCTAAAAGTCAGATTAAAAAAGTTATTATAAAGTAAGCCAGAACACACTAGTAAAGAATGATTTTTACTTTGGAAATACTTTGACCGTAAAATGCTCATTTGTAACCGCTCCTTCAGCCCCCCCCCCCCCTCCCTCTGTTGATAATTAATTTTCAGTTCAATGCACTAAGTAAGGTATAGTTTGACCCCGAAACTATTGCGTACTTTTCTGCTTTCCTTTCACAATTGCACTAAGTATGACGCAAGGAGTTAAATAGTTAGGATACGCGGATTTCTTAGAATGAGGCCTATACATATATATATATATATATATATATTATATCTATGCTCTATATATATCTATGCTCTTAACTAGCTATTCTTTTTATTTATAATGTACGATTTAAAAACAAAACATTCGAGACTGACTTCTTATTGCGATGTAGAAAATTTACACTTTCTTTGGAAAATGTGATCCCAGCTAAGAATGTAAAAGTTGAAACGGATGAGCCGATTGGGTCAATATCGGGGGCTTGTACAATGCACATTGTTCCTGTGATGGTCCTATGCATCAGGGAAGGTTTTTGGGCACTAAGGATAAACAATGTCCACTTAAAAAATGTTCGTTTTTAAAAAATTCTACATACATTAAGCTACTTACATACATGTCTGTACTGTGTACCTTTCACTAGCGTTGCTGGATACTTCAAGACACTTTAAATAAACTCTCTAGGTAGCACTTAAAATTTCAGTATGATTTAAAATTTAAATTAGGACTAGGGAGAGTTCCAAAAAAAATAATTTCTTTTGTGATTCGAAGTAAGTAATGATGTAGATTTTAAGATCTGGTTCCATTCCGTCAGAATTCTGTCAATTTTAAAAACCAACCTCAACTAGGAAATCTCCTAAAAGTATGTTATAACTTATAATTACTATTTGAAGTATTAGATTCGTGAATGTTTTTTGGGACAACCTATAGATTATACAATTTTAAATAGTTTGAGTGCATTAGATTTCATTGCAGTTATTAGTATAAACATAACTAATATTGGTTATTTGATGAAACTGCAGAATTACGCAGCATTTACCTACATAATTTTGTGCGTCATTGCCGAAAGTGCATCTTTCTAACTGTGTACTTTACTGTTTGCGTTATTAAGCAAATAACTGTATATTTGCAGTGCAAATTGCAGCATGTTTCTAGATGTATACAGACCTGGCTTTTTAAAGTGATACTTTTGGTTAATCCATATAATAAAACAAGACATTCTTTAATATATATATGCTGCCTATAGCCGGCCAAACGGCTGGACCAATTGGGCTGAATTTTTTTGCGAACACTCTTGGCTGGCCGGGGGTGTAATAGACTAAAAAAAAGTTTGAGCATTCAATTTCAATTTGTTTTTCCACGGGCAACGGCGGGCCCTTCAGTTAGTTAACAATATTTTTATTTTTTTATTCTTTATCTAATCTTACATGCTAATGAGAAAATCTGAACACGTTTTCGGTCTTTTAAACTAATTATGGAGAATGATTTAGAAAATCTAGACTTTTCTTTACCTTCACTCCTGGGCATTTCTTGTCCTCCATAAAATCAAACTATAGAACGTTTTGCGGAACAGAACAATATAAATATATGGAATGTAAATATATTTCTGGGCAAAAACATGTTACAGATACTAATGACCAACTATAAGGTAATATTTCGAAACTCAAAGAAATCCAAAAAGACTTTACTTAATCCGTTGGCTTAAATAAAATACGGATTAGTGCTGCCTGAACCGATTCTAAATTCAAAAGTTCCTTCCTCTCCGCGCAGGTGAATTTTTCAAAGTATCCTAACGTAAAGGCCCCGAAGCATTTTAAATTAATTCTGTCAAGAGTATAGATTTTAGATAGTGAACTGTATGGTGCAAAAGTTCCCTGAAAAAATAGGCATGGGGTATAAATTGGATTGCAGGCCATCATGACTTGTATTTTTCAACGATGTGTACATTCGACCTGTTCGCTAAATAAATTGTTTCTTATTGACGTTTTTTCTCCTGAAAGCATTTTTGTAACATTTTTTAGATGTTTCTGTAAAGTTCAAAGATCTTGAATTACACAAAACAGAACTTGTTGGAATTAAATTTGATAAAAAAAACGTTCAGGGAAGATGAACGTAATTTAGAAGCATTAATAAATCTTGAGAATGCTTTAAATTAAATTAAAAAGGTTATTAGCGATTTTCAGGGGCATACATTTGTTCTTTCCAGGGGGGGGGTGGCTAAGTATCCTCTGGATACCAAAGATCACACTGATCCAAGGGGGGGGGGGCTGAGTCACAAAAGCCCCCCCTCCCTTTATACGACCCGAAACATGAAAAAATAAAAGGTCAAATAAAACTTTGCCAATCTTTATAAATTATCTAATTCTGCTTGTGCAATCAAATTACGCAATTGGTCTGCACTGAAGCACATTTAATTCTTAAAGAAATAAGGAAGATAACAGACATTTTATTGTTTAACCCTAAACTGGCTGGGAGGGGACCCCACCCCTTTGGTTTTTTTGTCCTATCACTCTCATTTTTGACAATACCATAGTGAAATTTTGTGACTTTTAATTAATAGAAATCTAAAGGATTTTTTGTAAATTTCTTTTTTTAATGCATAGGGTCTATGTAAAAAAATCTAAAATAGCCCATATCTTTTTTGTGACGACAGCTAATGATCTTAAAATTATATTTTTGAAAAGCCCTTGAAAATGTATGTAGAGACATGTGTCACATTTTGATATTTGTTTAAAACAAACAAAAAACTTTGAACATTGAACATGCATTTCAACCCTCTACACCTTTTTCTTTCCCCAGGCTACACATAGAATCAGACCCCCAGCTTTTATAGGGTTAACACTAAGGAGAGTGAATTTTTTGATGAAAATTAAACCAATTAATAGAAAACGCTTTTATTATATAGACTTGCGTAATTTGATGTAAAGTTTCCCCCGCTTACTCAGGTAAATAGATAGATTCATGTCAACAATCTGATTAAAATGCATAATTAAAGGGACTGTAAACCAAATTATAAGTGAGAAACTAGATACAAAAAGAATTTTTAATTTTCAGATATGGAAATATTATTAACTTCCTGGGAACCCATTTTTGTCTGGTAATTAAGTGGTTTTTTCTATAAAAGTCAATCCACTCAATCTAGAATTTTTAACCAGGCTTAGAACATTCCTATAGTTCTACCATTTTTCAACTTTTCTTCGTTTATCGTGTGTATTTTTAATTCTTAAGCAGCATAAAACACATTTTTATTTCGATAAATATATCGTTAGAAATTTTTCAGTTTCAAACCTAATTCTTGAAAATATTTTTAGTTGTTCTTTCCAATTTTTACTTCTTCCGCTAAAAAACTTTTTTTCATAAAGAAAACTCGAAGTGTAAATGTTTGTTACAGTAACAAATCAAAGTAAGTCAAATGTTCAGTATCTTTCTAAGACCTTAAAAATATGACTTAAAAAGTTTAAGTGCATTAATGCACATAATGAAGTCTGTTCAATCGTCTCTCCAATTCCCAACTGATAAAACCCTATGCTTTGCATCCAACTGATAAAACCCTATGCTTTACATCCAACTGATAAAACCCTATGCTTTACATCCAACTGATAAAACCCTATGCTTTACATCCAACGCTCTAATAATAATAATAAAGGTTGATGACATATATCTATTATCTTTCACATTTTATCACTAAAAAATATTTAAATATCTTGTATCACATAAATTCATATTAATAATGAAAGGACATAAAACATGAGAAGTATACAATATACACTATGCGTCAAAATGGCAGAATTTTAGATTTTTTCTCCTGTGTGAATTGAAGATCGAGGGGCGTCGATGTGAACATAAAGGAATGAAAAAAAGCTCAAACGCAGTCTTTTATTTATTATTAAACAGCCTCGTAGGGGGATCGGGCACCCTCAGAGAAGGCTTTAAATCGGCTGTAGTTTTTATTTTTGATAATTCCTGCTTGCATTCAAACATTCTTAATGTAGGTACATTGTGTAATATAGTTTTGATGCAGTACATATAAATGTAGAAAATTGGTTTTATCAAGGGCAGTAAAATATAGACGAGACAGAAGCCAGGACTCAACAACCGAGCAAGAAATTGGCCAACATTTTGACAAAAATTGTATTTCTTTAGACGAGCTAAAGATTAAAATTAAATAGCAAAGGATTGAACGTGCATTTAAAAACTAAGATTCCAAAAAATGGCGGGAGGCAAGTTTAAAGAAAAAACCGCAAAACTTTTGAGTTGTCCAGTATTCCTTCGATTGTTGATGAATTAAAGCTGTCTATTACGGCGTACATGTCATGGTAGTACTGACTAAAAAAATACTCGCGATGGCTCGTCTCCTATATTTTACCTATCAAAGTCCATGAACAATTCGTAGACAGGCAGTGTTTATTTTCAGAGCTGAAAAATGGGATTTTTTTCACGACATTTTTAATGTTGAAATTTGAATACTCAACGGTATTTGGATCAATATATAGGGTTGAAAGAACGGTAAATATCAAATCTAGTAGTGTGGCTATCAGAGGAGTACATTTGATTAAGTAAGCTTCAAAAAATGTGATTTAGTTCGAAAATGGTTAAATACGGGGTTGAACTAATCTACAATAAGTTGGTATATGATTAAATGGATAATATAACATATAAAGATAGAGAGAGAGAGAGTAGTATGGATAATTTTAGAATATTACTCGTCAATAATTTATCTAATAAGAATAAACTAAGCTTGACTAAATTCTCATAATATTGTCCATCCAGTCGTAGTCTTCCTGCAGGCTACCCGGGAGCACGTCCCCCAACTCTAACTCCGAGGCGGAGAACTCGAAGTGTGAGGCGGTGGATGAGGTCGAGATGGATGATGAGGAGCATGACTCCCAGGAGTCATGAACTGGGACCTGGAGAAGGTCGGTTAGTGTATCCAGGTCTGCTAGACAGTACTCATCTCTGATCTCCTCTTTAATATTCTTGATGACTAGGGGTTCACTCATGCAAAGACGACGAGTAAGGAACGGGTCCATCATATCTTCTAGAGGGGAGAGGGGTTCAGACTTAAGGTTCAGTTCGGATCCAGTTAGACTGGTATTACAACTCTGCTTGAAGCTAGCATCGTAAACTGTACTGTTTTGATTGAGTGGGGAGGCGGGGCTTCCAGGAACGCCTTGTTTAACACCCGAAACCACGGGGTAGACGCTCCCTCCAACCACGCCCTTGATAACAAGGGTCAAGCTCTCCCGCTTGGCGGGAAGGTTGGACAACCGCCGATTAGAGGCGGGACGTTGTGTGGCGGGTTTTGGAAAATTTACTTTCACTGCTTTCAGCTTTCTTATCGGTTCGGCGGAATATTTTACCAGAGTAGGAAACTTTGGTTTCTTCTTTGGTTTATACTTGTAATCTGGATACTCCTTCTGATGGAGTAATCTTAACCTCTCAGCCTCGTCTATGAAGGGTTGTCTCTCCTCCTCGGAGAGGGTTCTCCAGGTTTTCCCCAGGTTCTTGGATATCTCAGCATTATGAGAATCTGGGTTCCTGTTTATAATCTTCCTTCTCTCCAGCTGGGACCAAACCATGAACGCATTCATCGGTCTCTTCACGTAGTTCTTCTTGTGCTTCTTCGTCTGAAATAATAAAAAGAATATAGTGTATGCCCTATTACAGAAAATAATTGAAACAGTTTCCTAGAATCAAGCGCACTGCGTGCAAGCATGGCAATCAAGTATCCGTGGTATTAGGCCGGGGATTTTTACCGTGTTGAAAACGCAAAAACATTCAGTTATTGCACGCATAGCCAGATGCATATTCTACATAATCAGACTTTTGTCAGTCTCTGAATGCTCGGGTGAAATCCAGCCACTCTGATGCTTTTCTGCAATTTAATCTGCAAGATGTAAAAGTTTGCCATATCTAGATCTGCAAGATGTAAAAGTTTGCCATATCTAGATCTGCAAGATGTAAAAGTTTGCCATATCTATGCTCAGCACCCGTTGGGGCATGAAAACCCCTTGAAATCAATAGATTTCACTGGTCCAGGGGGGGAGCTTAGCCCCAATAGCCCCCACCCTGAATACGCCTCTGTCTGTAATACTAAATCCGACACTACTATGTTATTACTTAATTCTCGTTTTTAATTCTTAAATTATTTTTCTATACTTTCCTATTTAGATCATTCAATATTTTATCCATAGCGGGTCCTGTACACGTAGTTTCATTTATCGATTGTGTTTATCTTTAAAAACGACTTTTCTGCTTCAGAATAATGGAAGAAATGTTCAGTAATAATCCCTTTTAAAAACCAGGAAAACGAGGATATCACATTATTCAGCAGATACAGGTTGTAAGGGTATCCTTATGAATTGAACATACGACCATGAATGAAGAATCAGTTGAAATTACGTTTGCTGCCTTTTTAATCCAATTTTTTATATTCTCTGCGAGATATGAACGTATTTACTGTTAAGTGAGCCCATGGCAACATCAGCTGGTTTTGTAAAAACTCCCAACCTTGAAACTGAATAATTATGTCATTTATTTATCATACAGAGCAGGGTTTATATATATATATATATATGTACTGATCTTGACATTGATATTGTGTATTGGTAGATATATAATTCATCTTTAAATCTTTAAATAATTAACATAATTAAAACGTTATCCCTTCAAATATACAGTTGCGGCGAACAGTGTTTTTTGTAAATAGGGTCGTAAGAAAAGTTAAGTAATGAAAAGCTAGTTGTTTTTTTTGCTTTTTTAATATATTTTTTAGATAACAAAAATTAAAACATGAAAATTTAATTAATAAAACCTTTTCCATCATAAAATAATTCTCGACATTTAGATATTATAACATGGAAAAAAAATGACAACTAAACCATTAAAATTCTTGGCTTAAATGCAAATTTGAATACTGCGTATTGTGGTTGTATAGATGCGTATATATGCGTATGAAAGGTTGTATTAAGCTCAGCTACCGCAGTTAAAATACATGCTAGAACTACACCAGATAGGAAGATAAAAATGAGGGTAAATTGCAGGGTCAAACCTAGACCGGCAAGATTTAAACCCCATTTAAATGTTACTACTAGGGGCCTTGGAGGGTGAAGAAGAGGGATGGGGGGGGATAGGGTATGGACTGTAAGAGTGATTGGAATATATGGGGGGAGTAACTAAGTTGAAAAGAGAAAGAAGTTGGGAAAAGTAAGATTAATTTAACCATTTCAGAAAAGGAGGAAATAAAAACTGAGAAATTAAGATTGAAAACAACATTTTTGAGATGGTATGGAATTGTAGACAACTGAACACTAGAATAAAAGAGGGGGAAATGTTTTAAAAAGCAAAAGAAGAAAAGGATAAAGTATGAAAAGGTAATGAAAAGGAAGAATTGAACATAAAAGATGAAAACAAATGATTTCTAAGATAAAAAGATGAAAAGAAGAGAGGTGTTGATGACAATTGTAGGGAGGCCCCCTTACTCACCTACTAGTAGAAATGTGAGAGAGGGCAAGGGGGGAGAATATGGGGGGGGGTAGGAGAATTCCTATTATACAAAACATCAGCTGAGCAGGGCAGGGTTAAAGTCAGTGGAAAGAAGAAGGAGGGGGGGGGGGTATTTATGGAAAATTTTGAACGAAATTAACACCCCCCACTGCCTGACCTCTGTAAAATCTGGTGCTGCCGAATAATCTAAGTTTGAAGGAAACATTATACACCCAGCTCTAATCTTTTTTATTTCGCTTTTCATTTCTCTCCCAACACCCACCTCAGCTTTACGACCAAAGGGCCTGCATCTGTATATATATACTTAACCCCCCCCCCCCCCTCCAGGAAAAATTTAAGTAACATAATTTTAAAAAAAATCAACATGAAATCATACAACAAAAAATAGCTATTTAGCTTTTTAAGATAAAGCAAATGTTAATGACAGGTTAGCAACAATTAAATCAAATATTGACCTCAAATTATGCAATTGAGTTACTATCATAATTTTCCAGTTATATATAATTTTAAGTGCAAATTAAATATACTATTTTCAGTTCTTACTAAGATTTTTGTGATTTTTTGCTTTGAAGCTTTGGGGACGATAATGAAAAAAACTTGCGGTGAATGATATTACGGCGCTAAAAATTTTTTCCCCTCATGATAAAAACTTTTTAATTAAAGAATTTCAAATCTAAAAATATTTTAGATTTCTTGTAAAAATATAATTATATAACCCTGGTTGTAATATATATATATTTTGAAGTATTTAACTCTAAACGAAGATAGTTTAATTATCTTTAATTACCCCAGATATAAATCATTATATACAACTTTATAATAATCTAAATTATACTATTCGAAGAAACATAAAATGTTATTCCAAATGTAAAATTAAATCTAAAATGATAAAATTCCCCATTTTTAGAACTTTTTCCTCGTAAATAAAGAGCAGGTAACGTTCGATTCTTGAATCATAGAAAAAATGTTTTCTTAAAACTAAGGATGGGTGGGTAGTGGGGGGAGGAGATGGTAAAACTTTCCAACCAGGGATTATTTGTTTCGAGATCCTAGTACTCCAAAAAGTAAATCTTATTTGCTAATTCAGCACCTCACTTTTTGGTTAACACGATGTATAAAACCCCGTTTAAGGTTTTCTTATCTAAATCCTCCTTCCCATTTATTCCTATTGTTTGTCTTTTCCATTTCTTTTTCATTAAAATTTATCAAGATGAATCAAATTTTCACAAAACATTCCCAACATTTTCAACAGTTAAAAGGAGATACGGAGGACAGTATACTCAAAACTGCCTTTAATGTTAGATTGTATGCAATATGCATTAATTAGTAGACAGGTCGTACCCGAATAGAAGTAATTTTTCGATAATCTATAATTCTAACCTCCAACTAATTTATGCAAAAGTAAAGTACAAATATATTTACAAAAATGAAAAAAAATAAGAATTCGAAACTAATCGTTTCAGAGAAGGGGAGTAACTTAAAACTTTTGGTGAATAATTTGAATCATGTAGAAAAATTGACAGGCGTCAGTGGATAATCATATTTTTATAAAATTCACGTCGAATTTTTAGTAAAATAATTATCCCCCTGAACTGGCTTGTTTTAACAGGGTAAAAAGCATCAACGCCTTGTACATTCAAAAGTCTCAAAATAACGAACATTTCCAGATTGAATTCAGTGTTCAATATGTCACAGAAAAATGCACTTATTTGAAGTCTCCCCCCCCCCC